ACCTAGCTTAGAATCCTCTTTCTGGCAGTGGCAAGAGCTTGCCAAATGCCTAGGAAAAATAATACTTCATGATATCTCTCCCAAAGTATTATCTTAACTTGCACAGATCTCTGACTCGAGGTCTTCCTGATCCAGAGATAACTATGTTCTTTGTTGTCCTGAATAGCTTCTTTCCTTCTACCAAGAAGCTGCTATTGGTTGCTTTTGTGAACCTGTGATCAAAAAAGCTCCATACTATAAGCACATATGAGGGCCGCTCTGAACGCAGTGCTTCCTATTTTATCATGTTGTCCCATGACATCAGAGGCAGATGATGGTGGTATGGCAGTAAAGGTTGAAACTTCCCACCAACGTTTTGTAATGTTTGTGAGAGATGACAGAACAGGGGCAGCCTGACACAATGGTGTCTGACATAGGAATGTGTATGGAGCAAAGGTGTGGAATTGAATTCTTCCATGCTGAAAAAATGGCATCTATCATTAATGCTTGCTGAATGTTTATGATGACCAAGCAGTGGATGTCGCCACAGTTGGGGTGGAAGGTGTTTCATTTCAGCAGTGGTGACAGTGGAGTGAAAAACAAGACATGTTCCAGGTGGCCATGCAGATTTTTGAGTGCAGCATGCAGGTTCTTGTTCATTGCTGGTGGAAGTGCATAGTTAATGGTAGTGACTGTGTTAAAAAATAGTGTTTTGTAGCTGAGAACTTGCTGTCCAACTTGGTGTTGTAGTTTGAATGGGAATAAATAAGAGACATTACTTTCAGAGCAATCTCGTGACAAGCCAGTTTTTTCTTCTTTTTCCAGGAGGGATTCCCAAGGTTCTTGTGGCTGAGGAGTTTACAAAGATGCCCAAGTTGACAGATTTATTCAATTATTACTGTTTCTAAAAAGATATTTCCTTGTGATTTCTCAGATTTAGCTAACAGTAGCAAAGAGCTGTTGATGTTCTGTTTGCCTGGTTCTGGATGCTTTCTTCGTCTGTCTCTGAGGACTCTGAAGTTCATTCCACCTATGCGTTCTGAGGGGGCCATGCTGCATCTCCTTATGCCAGGGATCCTGACTGGCTTCTTGTCAGAGCCATCTCTTGCCTGCAAGGTGAGAGAAGCCCTTGTCAATAATTGCGAGGCTTCTCCAGAGCTACTGCCGTGCTTAAAAGGCTTGTTCTTCCCACCAGTCAGCATGTCGTGCTGGTTTCACTAGGTCTGCACATTTGTGAGATCTGGACGAATTCATTTGTTTCATCGCAGTTCACCTAGCAATGGTTTCCATCCAATGATTGACACTTGTCATGGTGAAGCATTCTGCGAAGGGCTGATGTGATGTTTCAGGTGAAAGCTGACCCAGCTTATCATTGGTACTTGATTTTTTTGTTTTTTTTTCTTGTTGGTCACAGGAGGACTTGGGTGCCTTTTGGATGACTATTTGCTAGCATGTTGCATCTCTGTGTAGGTTTCTGGTCTTGATGCAAATTGTTAGCATTGAGGTAGTGTTATGAGCTCTGATGGCTGATTTCCTCTCCTTTTAAATGGTGCCATTTAGAGGAAGCAAGTTGTACAACCTAAATGCACCTTCAGAGTCCATACTCAAACCAGTTATGTCAGTACTTTTCTCTCTCTTCATGACATCTCGAACTATATGTATCAGGGACTGACTTTACACTTTGTGCCCCTGGAGTGAATAAAGTCTCTTTATAATCATGGGTCCAGATGCTTCAAATGGCCCTTAAGTCTGTATAAGTGAATGTCTTCTAACTTTTCTGCTAACTGCATGAAGACTGCTGCAAGGTGCTTTTGGAAAGGCATCTGGCACCAAAGGTGGATTATGTTAAGCAGTCCTCGAATGGCTGCTTGAATGAAGGATTTTTAAATGTGTCTGGACAGGTGTGTACTCACTGTTTGTGAATGTGCACAGTGACTTTTCTTTTAATGGGAGAAGAAAGGTTACCTTCATGTGAATAAACTGAAGTTTTTGAAATGAGCATTCCATAGGTACTTGTAGTTATTATTCCTTCTCCGAGTCCCAAAGGAGCTTCTCAAGGACAGTGCAACGTGGACATTATAGGGGATGAGAAGTAATTGGATACTATTTGCAAATATGCAGCCTCAAGGTTTAGTCAAACTCAATTAATCCAGCCTGGTTAGTCTGTCATTGCAAAGAGCATTGAACAATTGTCCGCCTGTCCCTTCATGCCCTCCCCTTTATGTTGTTCATCTCTTCTTTCCCTAGTATCCACTCTTATGCTTCAGTGACTTTACTGTTAGCAAGATTAGCTCACTAATTTTTGGAAAAAAGTAACAGTGAAGAAGGAAATCTGTGTGCTCTAGACAGCAGAATAAGACATGAAGAAATACGCAGTGTAGGAATAGGCAGGGCTGCACCACAGTTAGTGCTCAAAAGTTTTTAATGTTGGATATTGCCATGAAAACTGTGCATCTGAAGGTTTCAATTTCTCAGGCTATGATTGTTTTGTGAGTGAAATGAGGTGAGTTTATCAAGTGAGAACTTCTGTGAATTATCCACGGGTGAAAGAGGACACTGCAAAACCTTAAGGTAAGGTTTTCACACAAGTGAACAAACAAGTAAACTCCTCTAGAAGCTGTAGAAATTGCAGTGATCCAGCCCATCTCCTCACCCACAAATTCTCCTTTCAGTTTGCAGCCGCACGTTTGATTTATTTTTGATTGGCATAACAAAGCAGGAGCCAAATGAGTTGAAAATAAAGCTACATTCTCAACTTTGATGTTTCATCACGTGCCAGGAATTCAAAAAGCTTTGCTATGTTGTTTGAGAAAGCATTCTATCATCAGCAGTAATAATAATTTGAGCAATTAAATTAAGCTATCTCCATGCATCTAAATAAACAAATAGATTGTGGTTCTGTAGAGTGTGCACGTGTGCCAAGTTTGAGACGTGGGTTGTTGAAGTTGTGTTGTTTTTAATGCAGAGGCATTCTGCTTCGTTTAGTATCAGCTTCTAGAGTTTGGGCCAAGTTTGGCTTGCGAGAGATGCTGGGTGTCTTTGTAGAGCTTTTTCTCCAAGATCCTTTAAGGGGTTTTCATATAGACGAAGTTTTTGATATGCCTAGCATTTTAAACTGTTTTCTAGTCTGGGATATTTTAAAGAGAAGTATTAAGTTGTCATTCTGTTCTACAGTGATTTCTTTAAGCTGGTTTATCAACTGATGAATGTTACACATACATCATTGACCAGTAAGAATTTTCAAAAAATTTTGCACATGAGAAATGCGTTGTTCAGAAGTGATGAAAAGTTCTAGGATGTTTTTATGTATATATATATGTATATATTTTTTTGGAGGGGACTGCTGGTGTGCTTTGTCATTGACGTTGATTTTTTTTGTGACTTGTTTTTTAAAGTGGGTGAAAATTTGTATTGTGGAGTATGAGTAGAGGTAAATGTTCACTACTTTGCTTACTTGGGAGGCTGAGATTTTTGTGGTTGGGACAATTTGTTTATGACAACTTGGGGTTGACAGAGGACTACAATTGGAGCTAGTCAGGCAAAGTGTAATTCAAGTGTGAATATTCTAAATCCTTGCCTTTAGGGATAGAAAACTAGTCCAAGCTCACACTGAGCAGAAGTATGCACTTAAGCAGACTTTAGTCAGCAGAGTCTTTGGAGGGACAGTGCATTTGTTACAGCTTTCCCTTAGAAGGTGACAGTGGTGAGGATTGATAGTGGTGGCATCCATCTCTCTTCACCAGTCAAGCTCAAAGTACTTGACGAAAAGGATCTGGCAAAAAGCATTGGTTCTCTTACTCCTGCTCTGCAGCTCTGGAGAAGGAGGTCAAGCTGTAACGATTTGGACAGAAATGGCTGACATATATTGCATGGGGGAATTCCTGAAGGAACCTTTTATCCTGCTGGAAAATACCAGTCCATGAGAAACAATGCTTTGCAGAAACATGTTGCGTGTGATGAAAAATTGGTTTACAGAAAAGTGGTTTTGAGAAAACTTTGGTTTTATATTTCAAAATGATTTTATTTCAGTTCTAGCATAAAATGTAATAAAGGCATGGGAATATGAAATGGGCAAAATATATAATATATTTTATAGAATTTGCCATATTAAATAAATCTGAAAAGATTTAGAACCCAGTTTCTTTGGTTTGGGGTTTCCTAAAGGGTTGGGTCATTAGTTTGTTCTGAAGTTGCTCATAAACTTAAATATTTTGACTTATTTTCCAAAGGAAAGACATTTACAATTGTGAAATGGGCTTTAAAATAAGCAAATAACTAGTACAGCTCTGCTAAGTTCCAGTACCACGTTCACAGTTCCGCCCCTGCTTCTGCTTTGCTGTGGGAAGATAATTTATATCAGCTGTTTTTCTTGGGATACTGTGTTTTTTTAAATGCAACTTGTGAATCAAAATCAGTAGAATTGGGATACTGCTGCTCCTGTTCTATAGCATCATGATTTTCCCCACTATTGATAGCAGTGTTTAGCAGGTGGATAACAACACCAGTGATCAGAGTGCAAACTGAAGTGGAGTTAGGTGAGAAAGAGAATCAATCTTACATGAAAGGAACAGACCCAGGTCTGTCTGAGTAGATCTGTGCAGACTGCAAAGGGAGCTAGAAGTAATTTTTTAAATAGACAGAAGTGCATAGAATCAAACTGTAGGAATGCTGGTATATGTTAATGTTGCTTCTCTCCTGTTTGAGGACTGATAAAGTGGATAAGTTTTGCAATAGCTGCTTTTAGTCTATATATCTTAGTCTGTGTTTTTTTCACATTGTCTCTGAATATGAAACACTGCTTTTAGATTCTTTGTACTTAATGGGTGCTGTCTTAGAGTGGAGGGCAAACACCTGCTCACCTTTAAAATGGTGTAATTGCTTAAAACTTCATTTGGGTGTATTATGCTCATGTGGCTTTTCTGCAGATCAGAAAGGAAAGGAGAGAGCAGAACATACATCTTCATTGTGCCAGAATTTTTCTCCTTATCCAAACATTGCATTCTTTTTCTTTAAATTTGCAGATAAATCTGGTGTTTTAATTGTGAAGATCTTAGAAATGTTTGAGGAGTGTATGATACAAGTTGCCATCTGCCAGCAGCTGGAAGAGTCTCCTGCTATCATTTCATCCGAAGACCTTGTCATCAGTACAAGAGAACCGATAATCAAAGTCCTTTTTGCAAGAGAGACAGCAGCTCACCTGAAGAGTAGGCCACAGGATGTCATCCACATCTATCCCCCATGGTAAGTAGAGAGAGAACTGGTCAGGCTTGCTGTAGTGCTGCAGAATAAGGGTGCTGCAGGTACTGTGCTTGTCATATTTCTGTAGAAAAGAGCTTGGAGGGTGCGGAACAGAGCAGTCTTGTGGTTGCTCATCTGTCTCTGCCAGGCTGAGAGACTTTGGCAGATACCTTGAAGATAGCTGAGATAACAACTAAATGTAATGCCTCTGGTCTTGCTTGGGGCTTCAGTTTGACTTTCACTTAATATTTTTGTGTTTTGAGTGATAGAAAGGCAGGAGCAATGTCTTATCAATGATAAGGCCAATAAAGTACATACTTTCTCATTGCAAAGTAGTTCAGGAATGCTCATCTGTTGCTGTTGGTGCGGGTATAATGTTTCAGTGGACAAGGCTGTGTTAACTGTGTAGCGCTCAGCAAAGACAGTGCCAGCTCAAAATGGGGAAAAAATAAATGAGAGATTAACGCTGTTTTGTTATGAAATCAGTAAACAAGCCTTGATGGTTTCACACTGCTGCTGCTGTCAATGTCTTCAGTTCTCCAAATCTCTCTTCAGAGCAACTAGTTAACCTTTTTTTTTTCTTTTTTTTTTTTTTTTTCAGAACTCTCTAAAATGTTTGGTCTAGCTTTGTGGCTTTCCTACATTGGGTTAGTTTCCTGGTTTTAAGGGGTAGCATAGGGTGGTGAGATTTGTAGTAAAGTAACTAGTTGTTAGCACCTGTAGGTGGGAAGGTCTGAGTGTTTAATGAAAAAAACATCAATAAAACTGGTAAGTGGGGATATTACTTCTCTCTCTTTCTCACACAAATTACTAAATAGGAGATACTTTTCTTCTAATGGATCAGCATTCATTATCTGAAGGTTTCTTGTTTTTTTCTCCAAAATACTTTTTCCTATTTTGCAAAGGCCCGTATTTATTATTATTTTTTTTAAGATCTTAAAGCTATCTTAAGATAGCTACAAATCTTTTCTGGATTCCCTAACTTGTAATTTCTCACTTGTTGAAAGAGATCCAGAAATTAAAGGAATATATATATAATGTGGAATTCATTGCGGCTACAGATGCAAGTGCTGATAGGTGAGATGTAAATAGGTCAGTCGCCAAAGGAATACAGCTGAATAGAAATAAAATCCTGCTCTGATGTGTCACTGGTTTGTTTTGTTTTGTTTTGTTTTTTCCTTCCAGTCCTCAAGATGCAATTGTTTGGACTCATTTCCCTTTTCTTTGGTGCTTCATTACATGCTTTAAACTTGTTTTTGTTTCCTCCTGCTTTCTTATTATGTCTCTCCCCTACTGATTTCTACCTTAGTTACATTTTTCTCTTCAGGTTGTTTCTATACCACAAGACACTGCCACAAAGCTGTATCTTTTTATGGAGATCTTGAACCTAAGAAAGATTTCAGTAACAGCAAAGCTATTTTAGCTAGGATGTGACTGAAGTTGTTTTTTCTTTTACTGACTTTTAGTTGCTATTGGTAAATGTGCCATGTGTAAGTCTTGGGTTACTCTAGGTTATTCCTTGTGTGCTTGGGGAAGATGCAACTCTGCATTGATAAAATCCTTTACAGACAACAAGCATCTATTACGGTACAAGTGCAGTACTCTCATCTGTTTGAAAAATGTTCTCAGGTGAACACAGACATAACAACTCATTCCTGTATATATGCAAAGAGTATAAAGTGAGATTTCATGGGAAAACTTCATTTTTATACCACTTCTTGGAGTGTTTTTCTGTTTGTTTGTTGGTTTTCTTAGTAGGATGTGCTTTTAACGTAAGCCAAGAGTTATTTCGTAAAAGCAGAAAGTTTTGGCTGAGTCTCCAGAGTTGCTTTCCGGGCTCTGAAGGCACTTTTTTACTAATCAGATAGGAACAAAATTTCATGGTATCTTATCTTTAGTCCTATTTTCTATTGTTTAGGCATTATCTGAATGTCAGTTGTCTCTATTCACTCAAAGAGAAGTGAAAATAACTTGGGCTGGATGACATTAAACTAAACCTATTGGCAGGAGATGTGGGGGATATTTTTGTTTTTGATTATTATTTGGCACTTCTAGTTTACATTACTGGGAAATTGGACTCGTACACACAGTGGAAGTTTCATCTATTACATTTCCAAGTTTCTATTCTGTTGAACTCTTGAGAGCTTTTAACGCTGAAACGTAGTTTCTGTTACTTTGTACTGAATTTGTACTTCCATTGCCAAAACCAAATACTGCTTGATAGAATGCTCTCCTGGAGTATAGCATTTTGTGATGTTTTCAATCGTATACACCATAACTATGTTATTATACGTATGTAATTCCGTGCTTTCAAATTATGTTCTTGAGTAGGTAGGTAAGATAGCAGATGCATGGACTGCTGGCTTTGATATGTGGCTGCATTTCTGAGCAAAACTTGAGTGCATCATTTTAGAGCCTTTTCAGTATTAGACTTGGCTTTTTTAATTGTGTATGCTGGGAACTTAGTGCACGGCTTGGTATGTGAGATGTCTCAGACAGGAGACTTGCATAAGTACTTTGGGAGATGGTGTTTACATATTTGTTGACATGATTGTTGGTATTTGATTGCATACAGAATCTCATAATACTTAAGCACTAGAATGCAAGCCAATTAATTAAAAAAAATTAAAATACAGGCAGATAGCCAGCCAGTTGTAAGTATCTTATCAACTTGGACATTCCCCATGAGTGGCCCTACTGACTTCAGGGGGGATTTATTTAAGAATCTGTAGGATTGAGTTTGGATTTCTCTATAACTGGACATGGATATCTTGGATATATCATGGATATACTTCATATCAATGCCTTCTATCTTAGGGCACATTATACACTGGTCACTTGCTATAGGGAAAACTCTATTAAGCTGATTAACATTTTAAAACCAGTTTATCTGGTGGAACAAAGAATTCAGCTACCTGTTCTCTGAGCTGTCTGATGTGAGCCTGCTCTCATTTGAGGCTGTATTGAGGTATTATTTCAATAGTGTGTTTAAATAAAGCTTATTAAGTTGGATGCATCATGTGCAAGCATGTTGCACGTTTGTGACTGGAGGTGGTTTGTGCTTGGCCAGTTAGGAATGCAACAGACAAGAAGTCAGCCCTGCCTATGTAGGTTTGCCATTGATTGTCATCGCAGTGCCTGAGCAACTTTTTGAATTAAGAATTTGAATGATACTTCATAATTTTTACAAACTTGCTCTGAGTCGTTAAGTGTTTCTTGCAGCTGGAAAAGAAAAAGCTGCTGAGCATATGTGCCTTGGTTCTTAAGCCTTTATTTGTTTCAAAGAAATACGTATTTATCAAAAAGTGATGACTGCTTGACATTTCCAGGACATTTAAGAGTAGGAAGAAAGGCCTCTAAGTTCCACTGGAGATGGTTTTATAACTTCGATTTACCTAGGATATTTTGTTATTGTTTTTTGTTAAAAAAAAAATAGAATGCAAATTAATGTACCTAAAGAAAATGATATGGAGACATGAGTGTCCATTTTTCAGACAGTAGATCTTGAGCATAGTTCCTTTCAGCCATTCCAACCTCCTGCTTTATGCTACACCTGCTGTCCAGTATTCAAGATAAATTGACCTGAAGAAAATAGTGCAAATTCTTTTCCTTATTAAATTTAACAACTTTGAAAAGTTTTGTGTGTATTTCTGAAGTGAAACTATTGAAGGGATGTTGATATTCATACAGTCATTGAAAATAACAAACAAAGAGTGATTTGGATAGGCTCAGAGATCCATCCATCCAACTAAACAATGATCTCTAGCTCAGGAGGTTCACTTGTTGCTAATATCTGGATGGCTGGGACAGTATGAGGAGGAAAGTACCTCTTTGTGCTATTCTATTGTCTGCAAACACTGACCATTAAGAACTGCAGGAGACAGGATTCGTGGCTGGATAGCTGCTATTCTCTGTAAAAATTCTCTGTTTAAAAACAATTTATTTTAGGAACTCAGTATGGGAAGTATATAAAATGCTTAATGCAGTGACATCGGCAAGTAACTTGAAAGTTATACTTGTTTCTCTTAACCTATGAAGCCATGGGGTAATTACTCAGATTTGAAAGTGTTCCCGTGCCTGGTGAAAGTGTTTAATGTGAACTTCTCATCTCTACTTGTGTTACACTACACTCAGGATCTCCTCAATGAAAAAGCTTTTAAAGAGTTCAAATTGTTATACATTTACTGTCAAGAAGAGCTCACACAAACCATCATTACAAATCAGCTAATGTAATGAAAGTAATGTAATGAAACCTATAATGAGAGTTCTTTAAGGTGGGCCATTGATATAAATGACTTCTAAGCAAGCTCTGAACAAGTTTATGTACGGAAACAATCTAGCTTTGTGAACTTAAGCATTCTACTGCTTCAAAATTACCCTGGGTATGATGTAAGCTGTTTCATTGGCTTAACTGCAAGACCTAACATAAATGGATATATCTCTGTGATTTTAGCATTATCTTAATACAATATCTTGCCTATTGCATGATCTTAACTTTGTCTTGATGAGCAGTAAGAGTGAGCTAAAATTCAGGGAACTAAAATAGGTATTTTCAACCAGTGTAACTGGTGTTAAAAAGTGTTTGCCCTCCATTTGATGAAGATACAGACTTTTTATTACTGCTGCTCTCACTGGTCAAGGGAAGCATTCAGGAATGCTGTTAGAGAGTAACTCACTACGACAGAATCATGTGGAAGGAAGGTCCTGGACTTTGTATGTTAGAGAAATGCAGAAATGACCAACTGCTGTTCTACAAGAAGTCTATATCCTTTCCTTGTTCCACAAAAGTAGTAATGTAAACATGAGTTAGACATACAGAAATAACATCTTTTGCATAAACTCTATTTCCCTACTTGCTCCCCAGGGAGACAGCTTCTCTGAATGCTCGGTTGACCATTTAGACAAAAGTGATGTATGTTCACTGTCTTCTTTTGAAATCTAAGCATTTATAAATAGGTATCTGTACATGCAAACACTTACACAGATAAATATTCAAACAGATG